AACAAAAGTTAAGCAAAAAACGTAAAAAAACTTTCACCACAAAAGACAACAAGTTTTGGTTTTTCATTCAAATCAATTGAAAGTAATTGTAAAACAAATGAATCAATAATAATAACTTATTATTAATAAGACAATGAATCAGACGTTTTCACAGGCTAACCATCATTGGCTGTAAACCTCCGGTGGAAACCGCGAATGTTTTGGAAATATTTTATCATCACTTTCATTGTCTTTTTGCGCCACTAGTGGGACGCGAACTCATACCCTCTCACTCATACAGACCTTTACGTTAGCCCACTAGACACACTATTCATGTTTTATATACTGACCTTAAAATAGCTATACTTTTGAGCGTTCAGTAAATATGATATAAAACTAATTTTAATCTCATTATAAACTATGACTTTAAATAGGATTATAAATATTGTTTTACAATTAATTTGTAATAACTTATGAATAGTAAATGGCATTGAATTGAATGCAAATAAACGTGTGTTTCTATCAACCATTAGTAAACCATTGAATAAAAATAACACAAAACTATTCAATGAAATGATCTAAAAATGACACTCAAATGAGTGTTAAATAAAATAGTTGTATAACTAAATGAAAAACCACTAAAACTAACGCAAAGTATAATGAAAAACTAATTTCCAATCCAAACGCATGTCAGCATAAAAAGTGATGACAATCACGAGGTTATGGGACAGACAGACGGACAGGTATGTCATACCTTAGGCTTGTCGACGCCGGTGGGGTCGGACTGGGTGGCCCTCAAGAAGATACCCTTCTCGACAAAAGTGGTATAAACGGTGAGAATAGACATGAGTATGAAGTACGAGACGACACACAGGATGAGCACCGGTTTGGAGAGTGGGAAGGGGTTGAGGTAATCCCAGACGAGGGCAAACATGGCGGCGCCCACCGCCGTCAGGCATATGCCGAGCCGGGTGTCGACCAACACGTGGTTCTCAGTGTATCCCAGTTTGCGGTCCGAGTCCGTCAACACCTTCTTCACGGCGTCGTCCAACGAGTTCTTCACAGCATTTCCGTCCCATTTGTCCACTTTTACCTCTTCNAGCCGGGTGTCGACCAACACGTGGTTCTCAGTGTATCCCAGTTTGCGGTCCGAGTCCGTCAACACCTTCTTCACGGCGTCGTCCAACGAGTTCTTCACAGCATTTCCGTCCCATTTGTCCACTTTTACCTCTTCGGGAGGCACGTCGCCATCGGCGGTGCCGTTATCAGCGTTGGACATGACTTGCGGGTGACTCTGGCGGTGATATTATCAGCAATCGGTGGTCAATAACAAGCGATGTGTGGATGACTTCAATGAGCGCTGAGTTGGCCTCACATTCACTGTCTGTCTGTCTGTGAGACTCACATAAGGCTGACGTATAGCTCAGTACTGTATGACACGTGCGGATCAGTTAAGCGATCCCTGTGTTGTAGTGATGGTGTGTATTGTGTCTTAGTTTTATGGTTGGGATTTAGTTGTGGTTTAATTGTTTTAATTAATAGTTTAGTAATTGATTTATTAATATATACTGTAAAGTTGGTGTAATTATGCGATACTATAGCGGGTGTTAACTGTATGTAAGTTTTCATTAAATTTTGGGCGCATTTTATGAATTGAGTTAATATGGAGTCAATGAATAACGTATTGATGTATAAAGTAATCCATTTTATTTGTATTTCAGTGGATTTTTGTGTTGAAATATTTGTCCCCTTTTTGTGATTATTAGACATTATTTGTGTGCAAATCATAGGATGGCTTTTGTTAGTGAAGTAAACATTGAATCGATTTGTTTAACAGTTATTTTGCAGTCATTTGTCGTTTCATTTGATTTGAAAGTATTTTTGACACAAATATAGCATTTATTTGACGACCAATTGATTGACTGTTTGTGTGTATCGTTTGCAGACAATTGTGGCCACAGTTGATGTCAACGGCGATGTCTAAAGTGGACACAAATGAGCGCAAAGCGAGTGGCAGTCAGAAGCAATCGTTGGCCACCAGGAGGTCGACATCGCCGGTGAAGCTCAAGGTTAAGACATTGGGTCCGGTGGTGAGGGGCAAGAGTCAACGCAAACAACTCAATGGATTCACGTGTAAAGTCTGTGTCTAATCCGGTTATAATCAACTAGGAGGTCGACATCGCCGGTGAAGCTCAAGGTTAAGACATTGGGTCCGGTGGTGAGGGGCAAGAGTCAACGCAAACAACTCAATGGATTCACGTGTAAAGTCTGTGTCTAATCCGGTTATAATCAACTCACAGATAGTGTACTAACAGTCCCTATACTCCCTGTCCACTCGTATATCAATAGTGTTTGAGATTAGTGTCCAAATGATTGGCATTTGTAGTGAATATGTGTTACAATCGGTGGTAAAGATTGTGTGAATTGTTTAGTAAACTATTGATTTGATTGGCATTTGTTTTGTGTATCAATTGACTGATTGAATGGTGTGTTTGTATGGATGGACAGGAATGCGAGGACTACTATAAGACCCGTAATCTGAGCGAAGAGGGTCTGAAGGAGCGCCTGAAGGCCTGTTCGCGACACCGGAGCCAACACTCGCCGCCCAAAAGTCCGGAACACTTCTGGGAGACTCACTTCCCCACCACTCCTGAGTGCATCCGAAGAGGTATATTCAATGTGGAGAACGTGTCGCCAAAGGGCGCAAAGAGTGGTAAAAGTAGTGATAAGAAGTGCGCGAAAAGACTTTCCGACGATTTCTGCGAAGTGATTGCTGTCGTCAACAAAGTTGAGTCCAAAACCAGTGCCACAAGAGATCAGTGAAACGCATCCGTAAACCAATTGTTCATTAATTCATTACTCGTTTGTCTATTTCATGTTAATTAGTGATTATTTCCGAGTATTTTAAATAATTTTTATTTATATCTCAATTGAAAGCTAAAGTCTTTTTCATGTTAAACATTAATTGCTATATTTTTCTATGGAATTAAATTTCTAATTAAATCAATGATATAATAAATAAATCCATTTGTAAATTGAGTTATAAATGCATTTTTATTATAGTTTAATTAAAGTTTAATTAATTAATCTAATTAATTTAATTAATCTAATAAATTAAAGTTTAATGTTTATTAGATTTAAGACATTTTAATTTAGATTTATAAACAAAAAGTGTGACAAAAACATATTTACTAAACATATGGTATGTATTAATTAGATTCGGAAACAGATTCAGTGAGTGAGTTGGGAGGTCTGTTCAGACTTGGGTTTGTGTTGACCACTGAATGTCGGACAATAACTGCAGAGAATCCACGCCATACACAACACGCCGTCGCACCGGTAGTCACGCAAAATCAACGGTAGGTTTGGATTTATCATAAAAATAGTTGAGATAATTAATTGGCTATTAAAAGCAAAACATTTTCGGTATTCAATGAGACATTCTTCAAGATACAAGATATTTGAGACAATGATTATACGGAAGTGGTGATTAAATGTTAGATTTTAAAAATAATTTATGATTTACAAAAGTAAAATTGTCGGTAAGTAGTATACAGTATAACTCTTGTAGATTTAAGTACTGTATTTTAATGTTATACTGAATATGTAATGAAAAGTAACACAAGAATAATCATTAAGAATTTGTTATAATTTTTTAATGAATTTATTTATACTTGTATTAAAATTGATTAATAGTTTTCCCATTAATTACTACCGGTATATGTTTGTATAAACTTTATATTATAAAGTGACTGAAATAAAAACTTTAGTAAATTCTGTTATAAAAGTGTTTTCTATGTAATGACTTTTTAATAGATTTAAAGGAATTTCTGATCGTTTGAAATAAGATGTTTTTATTTAAATGTTAATAAATGTGAGACAAATTCTGTATAAACAAAAAAACAAATAAAACTATCGAATAGAAATAGGAATAAAATGTATTAATTGATTGAATTCTGTTCGGAAACCGATTCACTATAAGTGGCATAAGAATTGTGATCAGCCTTTGGTCTGTATTGACCACTGAATAGCGGACAATGACTGACGAGAATCCATAGGAGACATAACACACCGATAGCACCGGTAGTCAAACAAAACCATCGATACGTCTGAATCCAAGTGGCGTCAGTTAAAGACAAGTAGATACCGATGCCGACGGCCCCTAAGATGGTAATCAAGTAATAGAGTCTTATGGACACGAAATAATTGGTCTCTTTTTTGCTGTCCATTCTTCGCTGGTTTACGAGTTCTCCACGAAGTAACTGTTTGTACGCTAAGACAAGTAGTGTATGAAAACTGATAGCACAGGCGCTGGCGATCCCCCATTGGATGACAATCCTCGGCCACACAGACATGTTTTGAGTCGGATGAAGATCTTTAGTCAGTTCCACAATCAATGCCACCACAGATATGTCTGTAAAGAGAATCCAAAGCACTTCCAACAGGTTTAGTGCGATCTGATTGATGGATATGTCTGTCTTTAGGGGTTTGTCCTCCATGTCCGGCACATCCTGACCCTCCGGGAGCTCTCGTAAATTAAAGCGTCGGCTGTTTTTAGTGATATTCTTCTGGATCTTATAAGATAGCGATTTCTGTCCAAACGGAGCCTTGACTTTAATGCCCAACAAAACAATCTTAAAATCATCGGCGGAATGGCTACACACCACGTCCTTTAGCACCGGTAGTCTCGTCTGTCTATATTGCACTAACCTATAGTCAACGACTGGTCTGTGGTCTAAAGCCGTGCCTAAGAATCGTTGCATCGGTGCTAAAAAGCATTCAATTCAAATCATATGATTTTTAAATGCTATTATAGACACTGATTGGTGTCTGTCTGTGACATACCGACGCTCTCGTTGTTTTCAGTGAAGAACTCCACATCAATAGTGTTTTTTCCGACCACAGAATCAGCCGACTCTTTGGCCAAACGGATTCTGATGACATACGTGAACACAGAAGTCCTTTGACTACAGTTTACCGATTGAGTCTCGACTGTCCTATCCTTGGTATCCGTCTCCAGAAACAAAGTCATCAGCGGTTTGGTCACCAGAATCATCGCCAGACACCAGAAGGGAATCACTAAATACATGTGATAAGTGTCGTTGTCGTCGGTGCACTGACAGCTGATCCGCTCGTCTTCGTGTTTCACTTTACAGATCCCTTTCCCCGACTGAAACTTATCACAGAATATGAGGTATGAGTCGTCGATATTAAATGAGATATTCTTGTCGTTTGTCTCTACTGTAAGGGTTATAACGGCTTTCCTATTGTCATCCAAACGATAGTCTTTGTCGAGTATCTCTTGTTTACCACTCTTGTACTCAAATCCATGTAATCTAATGGTTTGATTTACTGGTCTGCTATCCCTTTTAATCTGATAATAAATGTTGTGTTTATGTCCACTACTGATGACAAAAGGATTCACTTCTTTGATCCAAATTACGAGCAGATATTCATGTAATTTAATGTCTAGTAATCTTGTGATTTCATTGAAAGACACCTCTGTCTTCCCATCAGACAATAAACTTGTTTTTATGGCCGTTATGTAGAAATACATATATTTGTTGTCATCCGAGAAGTAGGCCGTAAATGGGAAAGTTATGATTCGAGAGGGATTTCCTAATTTGACACAAACTGATGGCAAGTATTGAAATCCAAGGGAATGCTCGCAATCCTTATACTCAGGAGTTTGCATATGAATGTTAAGCACTGATTGTCTGTAGTTTTTGTTTTTGCTACAAATTGCTTGATAATCATTCTTAAACTTCTGTGTAATGGCATCAACTGATGACCACATTATCATTAAAGAGACAATCAAAGAATACATTTTTGGGTACATTTCCAGACAACTTTGTTAACAGTAAAATAGTCACTAAAACTGATATGAAAATTTAAATTTTTAATTTATAAGTAATTAGTCGATAAATCTCGTGCTAATACAGTAGTAAAATTAAATTACAAAATTTTTATTATTCATGAATCGTGTGTTATTCATTGGCTATTCATTATATTATTTAGTTTTTACACAAATGAAAGAAAGTGATAATAAAATAAGAAGCAACTAATATCTAAACATTTAAAATACTTTTTAAGAAATTCTTTAACACAAAACGTGTTATATTTTAGATATTACTGTTAGTTGTTAAATGTTGATAAATAATTAAATTTTAAATATAATTTACTTTTATTGACAAAAATACAAGTTTTATTTAAAAAAAGATGTTTATAAATTTTTTGTTTTGAATATTCATGTTATAAGAAAATTGAATTTATTAGAATGAGAAACAAATGAATTACAAGTACTGTACAGTATATAGATATATTATAACATAATATAAATGCTAGAATATAATACAAATGTGAAACATCAATAAAAACACACATTTCGTACAATAATCTCAAGAAGTCTTAAGATGTCTTAGGGTTGCAGAGAAGGCACTGTCGGTGACACTCATCCCAACACTGATGACAATAATTCAAATTACATGAACTGTTTCTGCACTTCACATACGAGTATTGTTTGACTTTCTCGTTGCAAACGATGCACTTCTTCGACACGAATAGAGACAACACTTTATGAATGCCTTTCACCACAAGAGGACATCTCTTTTCATCAATCATTCCGTAGACGTAAGCGCTCTTAAAAGTAGAGCTCGTTTTGTCCAACAAGTTGTCGGACACCAGTTGTTGCACTCGCTGTAAGCCATACCTCATAATGCCTTTCCTTTTCTTAAGCGTCTTATTATAGAGAAATAGTGACCGCTTTTTAGCTCTTTTGCGGTAGAAATAGCTGAAAATCACTCGACGGAATCGCAATGAATACATCTCCAGATAATTCAAAATACAGACGTAAAGGAAATACCAATAGATTTGAGAACTTATGTTACTATCGGTGGGAATGGGATTCAAATGACAATGAGTTGTTGTGTGGGTGTTATTGATTTCAACGGAATACTTGTAATACTTGAAGAATTTTCTCATTTTCCGACACATTTTGCCGCAATAGTCCTCACCGGACAGTCCGGTCACGTTTGGGTCCATCCGGTTATAGCCCACATGTGTGGTGTCGATGCGATTCAGGTGTATATTCAATAAATCCATTATATTAAACAAAAGTTCATTCAAATAAAATGAGACCCAAATGATGATTATGAATATCACTAATAGAGTTGTCGTTAACTTCATGTGCTTTTTCTCGGCCGGACTGATCCGGTAGCTGAAGGGGTCCATCAGGTCATGCCTTTCCATCGCCTTCAGTGGTAGTAATGATGTCTTATTCTGTAAATTAGGTTTAAATTAAAACATTTAATTATTTGTATTATAAATTAAAAACGGAGTGTATATTGAATTCAAATGATTACCGCTTTCTGACGTCTGGCGTCTATTTTGCGGAAATAAGAGGTGATGTAAATGTTGTCGAAATGAATGTCTTTGAGATAACTGTAATGATATGACTTTGAGCTGAAGAACACCCACAAGAAGAATATGATGAGCAACTGTCTGGTGACCGATGCGGCCAATCGTGTATAACTGGCCGCTCTATTGCGGTAGTAATTGATCTCTTGAGCCACAGATTTATATTTCATGATATTTGGTACGTCCGGCAGACTTATGTTGTGCTCAAACTCCAGTGCCTTTGTATTCATGGACTTCAAGTCGTCCTTTACCTCCGATAGTGACTTGTTTTTGTACTTATCATATACTGAACACGTTTTGTTCAGGAATTTCGTAAACATTTCTGATTTGCATATTCCTAATCCAACCATTGATTCTTTAGCCGATAAATATTGGTGTAACCTGGGTATATATTAATAAATATATCATAATAATATTGTAAATACATTTATAATTAACTAGTGATTAAAACAATTGGTATATATATTACCAAAAAGTAGGACTACCAAAATTCAATTTAAACGACCACGAATTCAAATTCGGTGCCACGAAATTTGAATAGCAATTCTTCACTTTCTCTGAAATACTATCGCATTTTTCGGACATTTTTTGCTTATAGTCGGCGACTGAACTCTTTTGAGGGTCGGAGCTCTCAAGGGCTGATACCTCACCGATAGTCTCCTCAAAATCTGCTTCGGTTTCGTTGAATATGAAAGGACTGACCGCCAGATCGGTGTAGTAATTGACGAATATTTGTCTCATCGGTGTTGTGATCACTTCGCTGGCAGACACACTCTGTTTGATGCCTACCTGTGCCACACAAGTGCTCCATTTGGCTAAGTTAGTCGTGTTGTTCATTAAGTTGATAATCGGGTGATCAATGAGTGCGACGATTATGTATGCGATCATAAAATTACGACTACTTCTGCCTTTTGCATGAAAAATAAGTTTTATTTTTTAAAGATTGTCTCTAATTGTGAACAAAATTATTTGAAATCTATATCTAATAATCATGTAATAAGTTTTTACTATATTTCCTAACAGTAGACAAAGTTTTGTGTACTTTGTATGGAGAGTTATAATAGTTTTTAAAATTGATTTTTAGTTAAGATTTAAAAGTATGTAAAGAATTAGAGATATTATTTCATGAGATGATTGATACCTAGAAATGTGGGCAAAATGAGGCAACAAATAGCTCTCATTTCGATGGAAACTGTGAACATAACGGTAACCAACGCTACGATCACATAACGGATCAGTTTTTCCATTTTGTTGTCGAAATCAAACCGATAGACAAGATATACGTAAAACAGGTAACCCTGAATAAATCCAATGGGAATGCATAGCATTTGTCTCAAAATGGGATATTTGTCGCCATAGAAGAAGTGATAAATGAAGGGATACTTAGTTTTGATAGAATTAGCAATTTTGCTTAAATACAACTCTAATCGGTAGCGACACTTCATTTTATAAGATTATTTGATGTCAATTAATATCCAAACAGTTTATGAAAGTTAACTAAAGATTTGTTAAGTAGTTGTTTGTTTGTAAATACAGTAGTAAATTGTAAGACAAATTTATGCAGAAATTAACATTGAATTTAAATTACTCTAAAGTTAATTATTAAAAACACGCGCTTTTTGAGATTAATTAGAAATAATATTCTCGAATATTCTGTATACTGTAAATGGTTTTGTAATTTACATATTGTTAACACATTTTGTGATTCATTGAAAGATAATTAACGTGTTTTAATAAAATAAATAAATAAATACTATTTATTGTAATAATTCTGTGTATTTCTAAATTGAAAGTAAAGTCAAAACTGTATAAAAGTGTGAAAGAATTGATTACTTGTTAACTGCTATATGATATGAACTACAGATTCTGAACCACAGAATCAATGCCTCGCTATTTAGGACTTAATTTCTATAAACTCGCCACAAATGGCAGTCATATTAATGTCATTAATCAAGACATTAATGTACAACGAATTGACAATCAGATGACTGATCACTTGATGCCTGAAGAGGTGGTGACTATCACTTTGACGGATGATAACGACTTCGATGATTGTTTTGAGCAACAATTAGATGACCCGATATTTATCGACTTAGAAGATGACAAACGATTCAAGGATCAAATCTGTGAAGACATTAATTTTGACAAATGTCTCGCAATCGCATCCACGTCTTCAGTCCCACATCTGAGACCACAAACTACTGGCGCTATTAAGAGACCAATGAGTGGTAATTCTGAAGACTCTTCGAGCAAAAGAAGTCATTCGAGTGAACCGTTTGTTCAGATCATAACAAATGAAAGTCAACCGAAAGGAAGTGCTTTTAAAAGACGTGTTCATGTGATAGGACTTCGACAGAGACTCGTTCAGTGGCAGAGGAAAGACTACTTGACAGTCGCTGATGCATACCGTTCCCCACATAACAGGCCTTCGGTTGACTCGAAATGTTTGGCCACAATTCAGACTAACCGACAGATTAGTAGTGAAACTAATTTCTTTAATTTGTTTTCTAATTTTAATAAAAATCAGTAGTTTTTGTGTTTTAAGTTTGAAATGTAATATGAAATGTGTTATTAATTTCTAATGAATTCTATATTCATACAATTACCTTATTCTTCCAGACAATTACCTTTCGATCCACACATTGATTTTGATTTTGCTAATTGAGTCCACATTTCATTGTTTTAAAAATCTATTCAATTTGTTAATAATAATTATTTGTCTTTAAGTTGAACTATTTTTTACACTTATTTGGATATTTAATGTTTGTAAATGTTTAATTGCTTTTAATATAAATGTAGAATTTCTACAATACATGTAGAATTACTTGAATGTTTATAAATTATAGCATTTTTACTATATATTTGTGTTCAGAATTAATAAAATTCTTTGTATTCATTTCCTTATCTAATCTCTAAAAGTGTTTAAAATTCATATAAACTTTAAACTTTTGAAATTCATATAAATTGATTAACGTATAATTATACGGTATAAATATATTTCAGATTTAAATACATGTACTGAATTACAGAAAATACACGTGAAAAACAGAATTACATGTGAGAAAATAACCCAAATACTGGTCAAACAACTCATCAAAATGAAAGTTACTTACAAGTTACTGTAGCAAGTGAGTTTACCTTTGCTCGCACTAGGTTTGTTGTCACTCACAATACTGTAACAGTTACTGTAAATGTAAATAACATGCATGCTATGAAATGTGATCAAATGTTTGTTTATTCCGTCAAGTTATCTCAAAATGATTATAAACACGTGTATTATTACATAAGACTTCAAACTGATTTGAAACGTTACTATAGTTATGTAATTCAATTACAATGTTTACCCATTTGTTAGTGATTTTGCATTCATTTGAGTGAATAGTTAGTTCATTAAATGATTTGCAAAAAAACATTTCATTATTATTACTGTCAATTCATCGTATAATACATCACAAGAATTTGCGTACAAATCATGGATTCATTGGACACACAGATTGAGACAATACTTAACGGTCAGCCCCTGTCTCAAGACATACCAGTTATTTGCGATTATAATCCATGGGATCTGTTCAGTAGATCCGGTATTTATTATTATATTTATATTCAAAGAGATTATATTAATTGTAATAAAACTTTTTTCACAATTGTCACCAGAATTTAAGCCAATTATCAAGAAGAATGTCTATTATATAGTGACAGCTGTTATCTTCAATGAGGACATGGATGTGCTTATGGTTCAGGAGTCAAAATCTGGGAGTCGTGGGAAGTGGTCACTGCCAGCAGGAAAGGTAGACCCGAATGAGCAGATAATAGACGCCATTAGGAGGGAAGTGCTCGAAGAGTCGGGTCTGGAGATCGAGGCGACAGATCTGGTGGTGATCGACACGTTTGGCTATAATTTTAGATTCACTTTCTCTGGGCATGTAATCGGTGGTCAACTCAAGACTGTGGCCAATAAGCACTCAATTGAGGCCAAGTGGTGCTCCCAGACTGCCATCAAGTCATTGAATCTGCGATACGAAGACACTATGGATTTGGTAAATGTTGTCCGCAATCATAACATATCACTGGCAATGGATCCGTGGCGTAGACCTCACTTCACTGCCATTGGAGCCCATAATAGGATGCTATTAAGAGTGGTATTCACTGTCAGACGCAAACAAAAGTTAGTTTTGATTTTCATTATACTTTTTACAATGTTTTGAATTAATAAATCTACGGTATGTTTATAGCAACAGACAATACGTACTGATCTCACGGCTACCGTTCCCTCATCTGCCTGTCTGTGCAATGCATGAGAAACACAATTTGAAGTCAATTCTCACGGATTTTCTTAAGGTTTTATCGGAGATTAAACTAATGTTAAATTATTATTGTATAAAATTAATTAAAATATTTGTATTATAGGAAAAACTAATTAAGAAATATCCGGTTGACTCACTTCTGGGTGTGTTGTCAGTTGAACACAACGGAGTTCCCCGAAGTCCACAGGACTCACCCCACGACGGCCTCTGTATCACTGTCTTAGCCAAGAGTCGGGTGCCATATGAAGGTATGGGCAGAATATGTGGTGATTATGAATGGATGCAAATGAGTCCATCACTGGAAGCGCTTCTCACCCGCTGTCTCGACAATCCTAACACAGAGTTAATTCAATGGAGACCTAAGTTCTGGTGCAAAAGGCCCTCAAAAAGGCGGACTAATAGGTCTTCCCATTCAAAAAACATGGATAAACTGTCCGCTCAAATAGCTGCTCTATAAATGTTTATACAGTATTTAATTTTTATTTTGACTTAAATATATTTATATATTTCTATTTAAAGTTTTTAGTTTTATTTTTAAAATTAGTATTTTTATTTAAATAATTTCATATGGTTGTTATTTATTTAATAAAATGTTTTTTGCCTATTGTGATATTGTAATTGAATTGTTTATAAATATATGTTCCAAAGAATTATTTTTCATATATTATACATGTCTTAATTAAGTTATTAAAATAAAAATATTTTCACTAAATTTGTTGTAACTTATAATTCAATTAGAATATATTTTCATAATCATTAATAAAAATTTTGAATGTTTAATTTGATTCTAATATTAATTTAAATTAGTATATTGATTATACTGAATACTTGAATAATTAAATTGTTACAGACACTATATTATTTTAATTTTAAAATTAATCAATTATTTTTAAAATTCATTTTAGACATAAGTATTGAATTAGTTTTGATGAGCTTTGAATATATTATAAACATTGATTACACATTTATGTTATAACTTACTTTAAATAGGAATTAATGTTATTGTGATTGACATCCCGTAAACCTCTCCGTATCCGCTATTATTTGTAATGCAAAGCCATTCCCTCTGAAACGTCAATCCCTTTGAATGCATATAATTGTATACAATATCCGCCGCTTCACTTCATTATAGTTTTTGTGCTCAAAGAGTGTTAATCATTAACACCGACTACACGACAAGTCCAGTGAACATAGACGGCAACAGTTTAATTGATAAAACTTTAATCTCATGTTATTATCACATTCGTCAATAGATTGCACAACTAAATATAGATATTTTAAATTAATTCATTTCCATTCAAATGGTTCATAAATAAAATACTGTAGTTTGGTTCAATTTAGCGATTTGGTCAGTTCATAGTGTTAGTGAGATAGTATAGACAGGTTAACTTTATATTTGAGTAATATTAAACTCAATTAATATTAATTTAATATTTCTTAATTAATTAGTGTTCAGAAATTGAGAATATTTAGCCACAAATCATGGATTCATTGGACACACAAATTGCGTTACTTCTAAATGGACAGCCTTTACATGAAGACATACCAGTTGTTTGTGATTATACTCCCAACGATGAAATCGGTAGCACAGCGCCGGTATTTATTTGTACAGTATATATGAGTTGTGATATTTGTTTCACTTGTTCCCAGAATTGCGACCAATTGTCAGACAGAATGTCTATTATATAGTGACAGCTGTTATCTTCAATGAGGACATGGATGTGCTTATGGTTCAGGAGTCTAAACCCAAAAATCGTGGACAGTGGTCACTGCCAGCAGGAAAGGTAGACCCGAATGAGCAGATAATAGACACCATTAGGAGGGAAGTGCTCGAAGAGTCCGGTTTTGAGATGGCGCCGGTAGATTTAGTTATGATTGAGAGCATCGGCAATATATTTAATTTCATATACTCTGGTGTCCGGCCGAGAAAAAGCACATGAAGTTAACGACAACTCTATTAGTGATATTCATAATCATCATTTGGGTTTCATTTTATTTGAATGAACTTTTGTTTAATATAATGGATTTATTGAATATACACCTCAATCGCATCGACATCACACAAGTGGGCTATAACCGGATGGACCCAAACGTGACCGGACTGTCCGGTGAAGACTATTGCGGCAAAATGTGTCGGAAAATGAGAAAATTCTTCACGTATTACAAGTATTCCGTTGACATCAATAACACCCACACAACAAGTCATTGTCATTTGAATCCCATTCCCACCGACACTAACATAAGTTCTCAAATCTATTGGTATTTCCTTTACGTCTGTATTTTGAATTATCTGGATATGTATTCATTGCGATTACGTCGAGTAATTTGCAGCTATTTCTACCGCAAAAGGGCTAAAAAGCGGTCACTATTTCTCTATAATAAGACGCTTAAGAAAAGGAAAGGCATTATGAGGTATGGCTTACAACGAGTGCAACAACTGGTGTCCGACAACCTGTTGGACAAAACGAGCTCTACTTTTAAGAGCGCTTACGTCTACGGAATGATTGATGAGAAGAGATGTCCTCTTCTTGTGGTGAAAGGCATTCATAAAGTGTTGTCTCTATTCGTGTCGAAGAAGTGCATCGTTTGCAACGAGAAAGTCAAACAACACTCGTCTGTGAAGTGCAGAAACAGTTCGTGTCTTTGTTGTCATTTCAATTATTGTCTTCAGTGTTGGGATGAGTGTCACCGACAGTGCCTTCTCTGCAACCCTAAGACATCTTAAGACTTCTTGAGATAATTGTACGAAATGTGAATTTTTATTGATGTCTCACATTTGTATTATATGCTAGAATTTGTACAATCTATGATATACTGTACAGTACTTGTTACTAATTTGTTTTCTTATTTTAATAAATTCAATTTTTTTATAACTTGAATATTCAAAACAAAAAATGTATATCAAATGATACATTTGTGTCAAATATGTTTGATTTAAATGTTTTTCAGCGATTATATGACTTTTACAATTTATTTTATTATAGAAAATATTTTACGATTCAATTAACTGTTATTCAGTTTATAAATCAATGCACAATAATCTCATCTCAAAAAATCACACCACAATTATATTTAATATGCAAGTTTGCAAATAATTGCCATTAAGTGTTCGTTGTGTTAACATAGTTATAGGTTTAACTGTGTTTTATGTATTATATATTTGTTTAGTCTACCAGTGCTGTGAAGTTGAGATCCTCTCAGTTATAGTCTATTAAACGAAAGATTAATTACTTTCGAAAAGCAATAATCTGTTTGCGAGAAATTGAATTGAATTCATTTGACTATAAAATTGTGAGACACGAGAATGAAATTTAATAAATAATAGCCAAAAACATATTCAAAAAGTTGTTCAAAAATCACAGAATATTAAGCGTGTGTTTTGAGAGCAAACATTAAAAAGTCGTGTATTTTATTGTTATTCTTGTATCGAAAAGTAAACACAAGAATATATATATATATATATGTAGTAATCATCAGAAAATCTGTTGAAAAAATGTATAATTCAAACTCCAAAGTGTTGACAACGGATACTAAATGATTGCTTTTTTGTGGTGAACACAGACAACAAGGCTATGAAACAAACATTAAATCATTTTATGATTAATTATGTCATAAAACATTGGAGAATTAAACTAGACTAGCAAAATAAAAATAATACATATATATAAAAATGCATATAATATCTCTCATAAGAATAATTATTTATTTTCCTTAAATCTGTATAAGTTCTCGAAATTCACTCGCAAATGAAATTACAAACTACAGTCAACTCTCGCTATATTGTACGGGCGTAGACATGGGTGTGACAGAGACGTGTTCACTACGGACTGTATATACGAGTGTCTGACTTGTGTTACATAATCAAAGAGATAATAATCATAACCAGTGTTTAACTTACCGTAAAATTTGTTGATTCACTGTTTTTCATACACTTTTCACGACAGATATATACTTATGCTATAAAAGTGCTTCACTATAGCGAGGGATGAGAGGGGAATATGGGCTCAACTGTAATAATATTATTATATATTATATTTTCTTTTTGTTGGCTTCAAAGGTGTTTTTCGCTACTATTTATGTCTTTTATTCAGCAAAACTATTATATATAGCAAAGTCTAACTGTGCTCTTAGGCTGGCTGTCTAAGAGCGAGAGCACTGGTAGCCCTTCCAGTATAAGTAGTAGCCATATAGCTATACATTGAGACTCCGGTCGATACAAGTATCCAAATATTCTGTGATATTCTGTAGTGAACTTTAGCACTGATATAACGCCTATTTTGCAGTACAGACACACAGTGTGTATATATACAGTATTTAACGGGGTCGGACATAAAAATTAGACATGGTTTTAACCAAAGATTACCAAACTTATAATAATAATACAATTTTATTTTAATATAGTAAAACTTCGGATAAATAGTCAGACATTCTGTGTTGTCTTTAGTAAAGTAATGACAAACATTAGTTATTTATGACTGACTATTTGCTCTCCATCAAGAGTTTGGGGAAAACTGAACTTACATTTTACGACATATTTTTACATACACAAAATCTCAAAACTGTTTTGCGTGAGAGGAACGTTACGATAAGTTACCCTTCGAGAGCGTTTGGGGAAGGTCTTGATGGAGAGCAAATAGTCAGTCAATTTATTGATTACAAATAGTAACGAAATAATTTCTGTTGTGTCTTACAGTCTGATAAATAGGCTTCAAAATGATATAATTTTTAAAATTGTATTGTTATTATAAGTTTGGTAATCTTTGGTTAAAACCATGTCTAATTTTTATGTCCGACCCCGTTAGTTTGTTTATTGTTATAACCATATTATAAACATGAAACATTGTCAAAATTAAAGTTAAAAATTTCAGTGAAATATTTTATTTTGGGTTAAATATTTAACTTATAAGTGATTATTTTATTATTTATAAATGTAGTTAAAATTCTAAATATAAAGATCAAATGCCAGAATTATTATTATTAAAATCATATCTATTACCGGTAACTATAATTTTATAATTCACTTTAAATATAATTAGAATTAAAATTAAAAGAAATAAATTAAAATTTATTTTCATCTGAAATATTTTAGTAAATATTATTTTAGTATTAACTAAAATATTTAAAGTTAAATTTACGAAATATCTCACCTTTCGCATCCTTAGTCAAAATCAATTACTTACACACGTTATAACTTAACTGCTTTAAGATTTATTAAATCAATACATAAATTAATAAATTAATGAATATTATGAACACAAAATATATTTATAATTTAAATTAATTTATATAAAATATACGCAAATTAATTGATTTAAAAAATGGTGTAAGCCTTTGATATGATTGACTTGAGAGTACCGATACTTATGGTCCATTTGCTGATGTTTTATGTTTTTGTTTCTGTATTATAAGGTACAGATAAGTCGAGACAAGTCCAAGCATGGCCAGGCTAAGTATGGG